ATTTATTTTACCTTTTTATTATACATATTATTGGGGAGCAGATAAGAATCACCACAACTTAAGTGAAATTGGGCAAGTTGCCAGAATTCTGTGTTTTTATAAGGTATGATATGTACTCATTTCACACTACGTTCACCGCTGTTGCAGTAACCACTAAGCCTAGAAGTGGCATTTATTGGGAAGATTTTTAAAAAGAATAAAAACCCAAGGTCATTACAATAGCATGGAAGAGAAAATAGCCTCCCATTCCTTTCCATTATGGCTTCTCTGTTTTTCTCTGCCTTATAATGAATTTTGAATTCTGTTTATCTAGAACAGAGTTCCTAAATTGGTCAATATCAACCCCCAAAGACTATGGACTAGCCTAGAGGTCAAAAAATGGCTTTGGGTCAAAAAAGGGATAATAAATATCTGGGAGTCAATAAATGGTTTCTAATGATGGAAGGTTAGTTAGAGTCAATTAATCTTTGGGGCCCTCTGTAGAGTTCCATGTCAGTCTATAGTCCTGAAGATTAGGTGGATATCAACCGTTTCAGAAAAAGGAATGTTGAATCATATGGTTTTCCTATTTCCAGTATTACCTATTTTTATGAAATCTTTATTATTGTTATTTGTAATACTATTTGTTAAACTAGTATTGTTAAATTATTTTTATTCAATAATAAAAGGCTTGAAGCATAATCTGAAACTACAGAAAGGGGCCGATGGGCTGAAGGTTTTGAGAATTCCTGGTCCAAAATAATCTATAAAACTAAATTGGGGCATTTATGCTTTCAATTTCAGTAATCCAATTACATGTCCCCTCCCCTCTCACTCATGCATATATATTCATTGAGTAGCAAAAACAAAACTACCAAGAAAGCAATGATGATACAGTGATATGTATGAAGCCTGAATTTGAATTTTGCTTTAGAGATAAATATATCTGAATTTTGGTACACAATCATATTCTTAATGGCTACTGATATAAGTAAATGCATTTTGTTCTTTCTAATATTCAATTACAAGAGCCATGGTGGCACAGTGGTTAGAATGCAGTAGTGCAGGTTACTTCTGCTGATTGTAGATTTCCAGAAGGCTCAAGGTTTGATTCCCAGTGGCTCAAGGTTGACTCAGCCATCCATCCTTCCAAGGGCGGTAAAATGAGGACCCATATTGTTGGGGGCAATATGCTGACTCTGTAAACCGCTTAGAGGGGGCTGTAAAGCACTGTGAAGTGGTATATAAGTCTAAGTGTTATTGCTATATATATATATTGCTATAAAGATATAAACACATTGACTTGACTTCATTTTGAATCAACCAGATTCAGGAAATCACAAGTGTGAAATGAGATTCTTCTAAATTTAAATCTGAAGCCTTCCAAATTTTTATTACTACTTTAGAATCCAGAAGCACACAGAGCCAACAATCCTACTAAACCCAGCAAAGAGCTTGATTTTTTTTTTTAAAGAAAAAAAGCAGGCTAGAAAGCTGCACTCATATTCATGCCATTGACATCACAGATCTCCTTCAGATCACTAACTGAATGCAAGAAGATCAAAGTCAAATGGAGGTAAGCCTGCAAACGCAGTTCCATTTTCTAGCCACCTTCACACCTTCCACCTGTTCAGATGCAAACCTGAAGAAAGCTAATATGTCTGCCCAAACTGATAGGTATCTCTCCAACCTGCCCATTGAAGAACAATTCCAAGGTGAACAGAGTATAACAGAAACAGTGGTATGTAATTCTGTGACCTGGAAACTCTACTCAAAGTTCTCTTTTCGTTCACTCTTCTAAGAGCACATGTCCTGGAATGTCAAGTCAGTGTCCCAGTTGGACGTGGGGCTCTGTAGCTGGATATTCAAGTCTTTATTCTTCTCTGCCATGGGAATAAAAATCTATCTCTGTCCCATGGCTTACTGCACATTCTATGACATTACTGCCAGTTGAAAAGGACATTAAAAAAGGTTTTGAACTGTTTTCTATTCATCATAAATTCTGAGCTCCTGCTCGCTTTGAACATTTCAAGGTTCTTGTTCTAAGAACTCATCTCCGATGAAACAAAAGAAACAAAAAGAGGGAAGGGAAAGCAAACTCTTTCTCTCTCTGTCCCCTTCCATCCCAACCCATTATTTTCAAGGAAAAAAATACAGCTTTCTTTAGCATGGCCACTTCTTGCACTATATGCCATTTCCTTCGCCATTAAAAAGGAAGATAAGCATATTATCTTTTTGAAAGCCTTCAAATAGAAATGTTACTTTAGCAGAAAATCCTGAACTCATTCAATTGAAACTTGGCAAACATAATCCCTACGAAATGGCAAACTTTAACTGATTTTTTAAAAAATCCATTGAGACAAGACAAGATCTCTTTGCAATTAATAATAATGATGATACTTGGAACAATTGCAGCAAAATCAAGGTGATTATTCATCTAAAATTGGAAGATTTGATTCTGTAATAAGTAGCTGTTTCTGCAAGTATATAAGAAAGACTGAGTTAGAGATATAGTCAACTCTTTGTGTTTCAATTCCTAAACTCTATTTGATCAGGAATTCTCTTGAATAAGTCTTTGACTCACCAAACTTCTCACATAGATGGGTCTTAAAAGATGTGTCTACTCAGTGCACACTCCTTCTTATAAATAATATAATGCCGGTAAGGGGGTTTCCACTGCTTTGGAAGAGGAGTTTTTTGACTTTCCATTTGAGCCTAAAGTCCTGCACAGATCCATATGCAATATTCGATGCTTGCAGTACTGCAATGTGTGTGAGCCCATACAGCATGTGCAAAACAGGCAGAACCTGCATTGTACCAGTACAATGTGGTTACTGTGATTGTTGTTTTCATTTGACTACTGGATCTCCACAGTGTGTATCCCGGGCCCTGGGATTTCTTGATGGGCCTCCATCCAGGGGTGGGTTCTAAATTTTTTTTAATACCGGTTCTGTGGGCGTGGCTTATTTTGTGGGCATGGTTTGATGGTCATGTGACAAGCAATTCTTTAGGATTTAGCAGAGGTACTGGTCTACACATTTGTTTTTGGAGCATTCCAGTTTACTTATTTGTTTATGGAGCATACCAGTCTACACATTTGTTTTTGGAGTGTTCTGGTCTACCCATTTGTTTTTGGAGCATATCGGTCTACACATTTGTTTTTGGAGCGTTCCGGTCTACCTATTTGTTTTTGGAACACACTGGTTTACCACCACACTGCCTTTTACCGCTGATCAGCTGTAGAGCGGCCCTTTGAATTTAAACAGTTTTTTGCCAGTCTGCCACCACCGAGAGCATCGAAAACCGCTTTCAGGCAGCTTGGCCTCAATTGTCAATCTGCCACCACCGAGCGGTTTCCAAGGCGCAGATTGGTTCTAGCCAATCAGTTGAGAGTCTTCTTGGCTTCTCAATTTAAAGCTAAGATGTCTTGGGTTTTTTTGTTCTCTTCTTTGTCAAGTGACCCATGATTTTTTCCTTCTAGCCATCAGCTGGAAGACTGGGAGGCAGCAAATAGATTGGGGGTGGGGCCAGGCAGAGGTGGTATTTACTGGTTCTCTGAACTACTCAAAATTTCCACTACCGGTTCGCAAGAACCGGGGAGAACCGATAGCAACCCACCACTGCCCCCATGTAGGGGATGCCAGTGGGGGGCATCCATGTAAAAACTAGGTCTGACCCTTGCTTAGGTCCCAAATCAAGTCAAAGTTGACCAGGTGCTACCATCTGCAGAACAATTTATCACAAAGCAAACTGTTTAATATTTGACAAAAATGGCTAGGTTGTTAGTTCTCTGGAATGCTGATAAATTCTCTAATGCAATTCAAAATATTTTACTCTTTGAGATTCATAAAGAGATAGGATACTGATCTTTGAAAGTAGTTTTTCTTTTCTCTTTTAGAAAATGTTTCAGAATGATAATCCTCACTAACCCATCAGCATAAAACTAATGTCACTGAAATATTAATATAAATGTTTTAATATAAAGTGCTATTCCTTTGAATTATAATAGGTTGTTTGTTATCAATAGTAATAATAATAAGGTCCTTGGGAAGGACTCAATAGATGGATAAAAATGCCAAATCCAGACTAAACATCTGACTCATTGTGCAACAAACAAAATAACGATGCTGGTAAGTCATAATGTATTTGTATTTTTTTCAAAATGTTGAATAGAAATGTGTATTATACAGTAAAAAGGTACCAGCTACATATTTCTTAATATGCAACCTACATAAGATTCCATCACAATGCAATCGTATATCAACTAATGCAGTCTTTAACTATATATTAATATGTATTAAATAAAATGTATTTTAAAAATAAAATAATAAAGTATTAAGTTCAGGTTGTTCATTTTTAGTGTTTTTGAGGAATAATTTCCATCAGTTTACAAAATACACTGAAATATATAGGCATAGCCAACTCTTTATTTGTCAATTCTCAAACTGAATTGAATCAGGGGATCTATGAAGAAGTCCGTGACTCCATGACCTGCTTCTATTTCAGCAAACCAGTGCACATTCCTATTTATAAGTAATGCATTATAAATAATGTAATTATAATGCTTACAAATACAATGCTAATGCAGTAATTTTTCGATTCCCATATTTTTTTTTCAACTCAGTATTACAACTCAAATCTAATAACTTTATAGTAAAATAGGTTACCTATGTTGTTATGTCTATTTTGCTTCTCCATACACTGAAGTACACAACAGTAGCCCATTGTGTAGTTGTTCTATAACTATGCATTATCTAGTCGGTGCAGAATGTTTTCTAGGGCCTAAACATTCTTTTATCAAGTTATTATTTCAAGTAGCTCGAAGATTACATCATCGAAATAGTTTTTAGTTTTCTCCTTTTTTGTGTTTAAGACATTACATTTTCACAAACATTGGGGGCATAATGACACAGCAATGGATTAAGAAAAATGCCTAATTAAAAATAATGATCATTTGAGCCGCATTGAAGAAGAAATGGACTAGGAAATATGCTAAGGAAAAGGTGAGCACTGAAACTTGCCTTTGAAGCCGGTGGCACAGTGACACAAGAAGTGGCCAATTAAATCCAAACAGGTGGCCCCATTTTTGCAGGGTGAATTTGAACATTCGTTAGCTTCCACTTCACACAATGGTCCTTCGTAGCCAAGCACACAGTGGCAGGTGTAATTATTCTGATTAGCTACACAAAAGCCATGGTCTGAGCAACAATGGTGAAGGCACATGTCTAAGCCAAGTTCACAGAATGCCCCAGAATAACCTGCAGGACACAAACACCTACAAGACATAGAATGAGAAATTAGCCATCTAACTCCACAGACAAATTACAATGGTTACCAGAACTTCATCCTAGCTTCTTCTCAAAACAGTGTCATCTTATTCACAACTGGATGATAGTTCCAGGAAGATCGAAATAAGAGTATGATTAATCAGATAAGAGGCCTTCGCCATCTTTGTTCTTGGTTAACTATACCCTTTTAGGGCCTAAAATGTTTGCCAGATTATATGAAGAAAACTGAACTAAAGTTTAATCTGATTAGGATGAACTGTCTATTACACTCTGATTACTCTTATAAGAAATTAAAATTATTTATGCATCCATATCAAAATGACTGCAATGGGATAAACCAACTTTCAATGCGAGTAGGGACAAAGTTCCATCAAAACTGTGTTCTTCAGAAAGATTTGGGACAGAGAACAGCTTTGAGTAAAAAAAAAAAAAAGCTTCTCCTGAAGCTGAAGGCTACTACTTTGTCTTTGTTTTCCTTTTAATTGAGTTGATATAAATCTTATTTCAATTTGGTGAGGTTTATATAATATAATTAAAGACTATGCACATCCTATTATTTAAATAACTTACAATGTTGAACATAGCAAAGAGAAAAAATATTCCATCAATATTAATTACAATTTAGAATATCATTATTACAAGCATTAAAATTATTTGACTTTTTCATTCACACCTAAGTATAACTTTAAGGGGGGGAAATCTTCTGTAATTTACATCAAAGTATTTGTTAGATAAATTAAGATGTCAGTCTTAAGCTACTTAATATTAAAATCACCATGGTACTGCTACGGTACAACTATATCTATACAACACATGAGAAAAAATAGACGAAAAGAGAAAATTTAAGATGAATTAAAATTAGAAAAAGAGAAAAAGGAAAAGGAGAAAATAGAATAAAATTAACAAACTAAAATAAAAATATTACATTTCTAACTTTCCCCCTGTTATACATTTGCAAATTTTCAATATTTGTAGACATTTAGGCCCTCTTGGAAGCCAAACTGCAAATCATTATGTTTACCATTCTGAATGATATGTTGTACGTATGGAAACCATTCTTACCTAAATCTAGTTACATTTCTGTTGGGTATATACAAAATTAGTTTTGCCATTGCTGAGTATTCTTTAAGTTTACATGCTGAACAACACACTTTTGTGAGTTACTCCAGTGGGAAGAGGAACTATATGAAAGAAAGCTGCAACATTCAAAACTAAGCAAAAGGCAAATCTCTTCCTGGGGTAAATCACCACTTTAAAGCTTCTCTATCAGAAACACAAAATACATGCATTGCAACATTCAGTAAGTTTTACAAAGATGTCATTTCATTTATTATTTTATTTTATTACTTTATTTATTTTATTCTATTCTATTATTATTTATGTTTATTATTCAGTGTAAGTACTATCCCTCTCCAATTGACTGTAACTGGGGAATCTTCCAGCATAGAAATATTTGTGAGTTCAATCCTTGGTAGCAGAAGATATTTCTCACTCTGGGCACGATGAGTAATTGTCTGCTGCGAACTCTGCATAGGCGTCAAGAAGGGCATCCAGCCAGTAAACGCTCAGCAAAATTCAGTTACCCAAAGTCTACCCCAATGCAAGGGATTATGGGGACGTTAAAAGAAAAAAAAAAGGTCTTGTCTTTTTTTTTTTTTTTTTTTTTTACAGCAGGGTGGCATATAGTACATAGTGTTCCTTTACATGATTTTTCTCCAGAACTGTGAAGAAGGTTAGATTGAGAGTAACAGCTTTGCTCAAAGTCCCTCAGAAGAAGGGAGATTGGAATTGGGATCTTCCTGCTCCTATTCAACCATTTTTATTGCAACCTCACATTGGTTCAATATAATACATACCCTTCCTATAGATACATGATCACTTAATAATTCTTCAAATTATTAATAGGGATCCTTCCAGGTTATGTTTAGTATTCCAGCAGTAATTAAGATTTCAGTTTAGTAATCTTATCTTGGGGGAATATGATCCTATTTAGCCACAACTTCCTTTAAAATACAAACCACGTCTTGCAGGCATACAATAAATGAGGATGGAAAGGTTATTGGAGAATAAAAGGAGTTTTTCTCATGATGAATATTCCATCAGGATGGCCTATAAAATGTGACAGGGTTGGCATGTTCCAGGTCCCTCCAATTAAGTGGCAACAACTGTTGGGATGCAAAATGTGTGCCTTCTCCGTCGCAGCATCTGCCCTCTACAACAGCAGCTCCCTGTAAGATTCAGCTAGTTCTAACCTTGGTAGTCCTTCAGAGGGCCTTGGAGACCTAATTCTCTCAGACACTGGGTTAGGATGACACAGAAGCCTTATATAAATGTACGAGTGTTGAGTTTTGTTCCCAACACAGTGTTTTTCAAAATCATTTTTGCTTTTATACTGTGAATGTTTTTTTTTTTTTTAACCCTGTTAGTCATCCAGAGCTGTTCTGGGAGTGGGCAGCTCATAAACTGAATGAATGAATGAATAAACAAACAAAGAAACTTGCTGAATTTCTGCCTACTCTGCACCTATTAAAACACAAGATATTTACCCAGAAAAGGAAGAAGAGAAAATAATAAAACAAAAAATAAAATAAAATAAAATAAAATAAAATAATAAAATAAAATAAGGGAAGGGAAGGGAAGGGAAGGGAAGGGAAGGGAAGGAAAGGAAAGGAAAGGAAAGGAAAGGAAAGGAAAGGAAAGGAAATAAGGGATTTCTTAATCCATAGCTCTGTTTACCTGTGCTTCCCAGAGTCCAGGCACTGCTCTTGTTGGCCTGTCTGTTCTCCATAGAGCCCACCTGCCCACCCTCCCATCCTTCTGTGCTCCTTCCTTACCGGAGACTCCCACCTCTTTGTGCTTAGCAACCTGTTCCATCCTGGAGTTACAATGGCAACCAGGACTGCATGGATTGCTGTCACTAAGCGATGTGGTCACGTAACATCATCACATAGTGATGGCAAACCCATTCCCAATTGCAATTGTAACCTCTTGACTCTGGCCATATCCAGCAGGTGGTTTTCTATACATTACCATGAATCAAAATGGTCCTCAACTGAGAAAATGTGTTTCAATCCTGAGCTAGTAAATTAAACTATAGCAAGAATACATGATTTATTTAAATCATGCTTTGAAGAAGGCATATCCCATGAGGGACTTCTCTATCTTTGACAGCAAGCACAGAGTAAACCTTTTTCCTAGCTGAATATTTATATCTCTCACAAAAAGCAGAGAACCACACCTTTTGAAATACTGTATTGTTCTATTGCCAATATTACAAAATATCTGAAGTCTTTAATTTGATTTAATTTGATCCATACTAAGACATACTAAGACTGGTATGGTGTGGTGCTTTTAAGGTATCAGACTAGAAACTAGGAAACTGTGAGTTCTATTCCTGCCTAGGTCAGTCAGCTCCTTTCCATCCTGGGAAGGAAGCCAGGGCAAACCATTTCTGAAAATCCTTGCCAAAAAAACTGCAGGGATTTTTCTTAACAGTCTCAATGCAATTGAACTGAAGTTAAAAAAAAAATACTTATCAACTCTGCCCTTAAAATCCTCATTGAATTTATATGAGGTTAGCAGTGCTTTGCTTACTGTGAGTGGCAATTCCCACTTAGGGAAAATGCAATGGCGTTTTTTTTGTGTGCTGCTATAACTATCATATTTCTAAATTCATCAATGTTTACAGAAATCTGGAGGAAAGTCAGACTAATACTAGAAAAGGATGCCTCTGCTTTCCCCAGAGTTATTATAATAATTGGAAATCTTTCAGCTTAATACAAAAAGGTCCATTGCCCTCTTTTCATTAGCTTGGTTAGGCCCTTCGGTTTACAATATTACTTTCAAAGAAAGAGCTCTGTGTATCCCCTTAATTATGGAACATTTGCTCAGCCAATCTGTTAAATATAGATGACTGCTTTGTCAAATATGCACTAACTGCTAATTATTTCTTGTATGTAAAACATAATTAGGAGAAAGCATGATAAACAGTAGGTTCTCCATACCACATGTGATTAAAAATAGCTGATATATGTGTTCCCACTTGCAATTAACATCTACTGTTTATAATCTGTAATCTAATAGTACTAAAAAAAAAACCCTTCCAAGTTACTATTTGATAATACAAACAGATAATACTTTTAATCTCAGTAATAGGATTTGATTTTATTCCTGGTAATGAATTCATAAGAGATGATATGAAAATAAACTTTTTTTAGAGTGTTCCATCTATCAACAATTTATCTAATTTTTGTAAAGCCAAGTATTACGTTACAAAGGTTTCAAGAATAGCCTTCAGTGCAGCATTTCCTTCCCACAATATTCCTAATTTGGCCTTTCATGATACCTCTTCTAACAATGTTCCAATCAGATTTCAAATTATACTCTTTTTTCTCCCAGTTATTTTTAACTGGGAAATGACTCCAAGGACTCATGGTTGTAACTCTCTCTTTTTACTCTCCAAGGAAGCCAATAAGCAGAATTCCTGGGGTAAATAAGGTTTACCTCATTTCTCAAACTTCTCTCTTATTCAATGGTTTGGGTTACACACTATGATTCATGCTGATGTGGTTCAGTTGGTTTGGCTTACTGCAATATGTAAACAACTTGGTATTTGTAAGCCATGGTTTATGCTGGGGCATATCATTAGGTGACATGAAGCAGTCACTAAATACAACAATTTGCTCTTTCTAAATTTTAAGTGGACTGTAACCTCCTTTGGATAGATAGATGATAGATAGATAGATAGATAGATAGATACATAGATAGATACATAGATAGATAGATAGATGATAGATAGATGATAGATAGATGATAGATAGATAATGAGAGACAGAGACAAAAATACAGATATAGATAGAAGCTATGCTCATTGGATGCCAACAGATTCAGAAATTGGTTCCCAGTTCAGATAATGATGGCAATAGAACCACCATCTACCTAGATTACCCCTATTTATGAGAATAGAGAGCAAAATATGACACTTGGA